CTACATATTTTAACATTCAACGGCTGCACAACAGAATCAAAAAAAAAAAAAACGCACAAGACTTGGTTTCGTTTACAGTTTGCTCGATTTGACAGCTGGTCCGAGTTGTTCTCTCTTTGTGGCTGATTTTTTCTTGGCCGATTTGATATAGCATTTCGTTTACCCGTTTTGGGGCTCTCAAGTACAAACCACAAGACGAATTTGGTCATTTAAAATTGCGGCAATGTCTGATGGCCAGATGGATGGCTGCTGGTTGGGCTGCTTGAATGGATGTTTGCTCTGTCGCTTACAATTGTTGTCATTGTCAACGTGTTGGCCAGCTTCTGCTCTTGGGTTTGTTTGGTCTTCTTCTGCGGGGCGTTTACCACCACCACCACCAGCAGCACCAGCAACAGCAACAACCGCAGCTTTGTCTTCGACCCATTTAACGGGCCAGTGCACCGGCGAAGCCCTAGCATTGGACTCGATATTGGGAACGTGAGAGTTGTCCATGTTGGCCCAAGTGCACTAAAAAAAATACACCATACGTTTTTGTATTTTATCGGGGAGCTTTCGATTTTTGTGTAAATTCCCTTCCAAAATATTTAGACTTAATACAAAATATTTTACATGTGCTAGTTATTAGAGCTGGAAGATGATTAATGTATTTTATATTTTTCTATTACTGACAAACATGGAAAATTTCCATTTCTATTATTTCCTCAAACCCAAATATTTTTTTTCTTTTATAGAAGTGTCTTAAAGATTCAATCGTTATTACGAATGCTATTTAAACATATATATTTTATTACTTTAATACTGCTTTTTTATTCCATCTCCGAGTAAAAGATGCAATTAAAAGCTTAGTTGCCATCGATTTGAAGTTGGTTAATCTTAAATCTTTGGCTCGCTCTGCCATTACATGCAATCTGTATTGGTATTTATGTATGCAAATTTTCAAATGAAGTGTGAATTGCTCAGTCTCCGTCGCGAGTCTCCATCTATCTTTGTGCATGGCCATTAAGAATATCAATTAGGCACGTTTTGCAGCTTGGCGGCAAAGTTCAAAATATAATTACAAAACCAAACCGAACAAAGCAAACAAAGCCTCGACTCGTACCCCTCTTAGTCAATTTTCCACTTGGCTTGACTCCGCTTTGACTCTGGTCATTAAGCTGCTAGAATTTATGATTTCAATTGCAGCAACTACAAAAAGCAAGTCTTTTCTCCTGCAGAAGCAAACGATAAATGATCTTCATGGTTAGCTGTGGCAGACATTTTCTGTAATTTATGTCAATCATTTGTTAGTTCTTTGCATTTGCATCAAATCATTTAAATGCGCTTGTGTTGGCCATTAGCAAAAATGACCTCAAATAGGCATTTAATAAAACGTTTTTTGTAAAACTAAAAGTATTAAGTGATAAGTAAAGTCAAAAATTTAAGTAAAATATTTAATTTAACTAAAATATTTATTATTCTATTATAAATTTAAAATAAAAATATTTTTGTGAAAATCAATTATTACTAACTATTTGTTAGCAACTACCCTACTTTTGATACACTCAAAACTAAAGTTCACAACATGACTAATGTCAGTGTTTGATTTCAGGTAATTATACCGATTTCATGGTAATTTTGTTTACCCCAGAATTAACCTAATCGATCCGCCCGACATCTCATTAAAGTTCTTGAGATATACACCTGCCGCAAAAACAGCAAATCGACCACTGGTGTCGACCTCCAATCTTCGAACGAATCTGTTCAAATCAATTATGCAAACGGCAGAGTGTGAAAAATCCCTTGCCTTTGTCCATCATGGCTAAACACGTTCTGTGAGTAGGGCATATGTATGTGGAAAATGACAGATTAGCGATTAAGTATTTGTGCCCAAAAGAGCAAATACAATTTGCACGATTTTTTTTGTAATTCGAGCGCGGCCAACAACGAGATACACATCTGCATGTGATTGGGCATTTCTATCTGTGTCTGTATCTGGATTATCTGTAGCCACACAAATGTGTCCACTGGCCATGATAGCCATGCTGGTGACTCAATATGCCTAGTCGAGAGCCTCTAGAGCTGTTTGCTGTTGTTTATTGTCTGTTTGCATTGGTAATTTGTATATGCACTTGAAAATGCAATTGCATTGTAGGAGCTTGAAGAAGAGGTAATTTATTTGGGGAGAGGGTTTAATGAAACTGCATTTTAAAATCGAATTATTTTTTAAACTGAATGGGAAGTACTTTAAATTTACTATGTTTCCATAATTTTTTTCACTGTTTTCGCTGTCCCTTTCGCCTGGTTAACAAATGCAAATTATCCATTTTTTTTCTGTCTTGAACTTGAAGTGCCAGCCCGCTGAGAAGCCACTAATTTGTGTGTCAACTCCGGGCGTGCCACGCCCACCTGTCCACCCCCGACCGTTTGTCGATCTCCAGGTGGCTCTCTCAGATGCTTTTCGCGTGCACTTGCGGAGGGAAAAATGGAAACTCAATGCGACATGCAACTGTCATCGTGTGCGGTTGTAACAAATGGAGGCTTTCGACGGCAGCCTTGTGGAAATTGCTGGCTCTCAACCAAACGGTTTTCCCAGGCCCAGCTGCAGTGGACGAGTAAACTTTTCCGATTAGAATTCCTAGTGGAAGTTTCTCGGGCTTTTGATGTGGCGGCTCTCGGTTTCAAGAAGCCAGAAAATGAAAGGCAAATCTGCTGACCAAACCGCAGGCGCTGCTTTAGCTTGGCCTGGGCTAAAAATCTCCTGTTGTTGACCTTCGGCTGCTTATTAAAATTTCCATCGAAGGCGTAGGCATATGAAATCGAAAAAGTTCCAGTTTTTGGCCAGGCCAATTCCTCCTTGGCACTTGTTGACCTTCGAGGCAGAAACAGCAGCCGGCGGCATAAAATTAAACACTTGCAAGAGCCGTGGCGACAATAATGAACAATGATGAACTTGATTAAAAGAAGAAGCTACCCTCAAACCAGTTGACCGGGCCAAAAGCCAGGGAACAAGAAGCGAAACGAAACGAAACGAAACCAGAGCGATCCGAGATACAAAATACTTGATGTGAATGTTGCCACATTGGATACCGGCTGCCCAAAAGTCGTTTCGTCGTTCCCTGCAACATTCTCGTTTTGCCACTTTGGGATTAAGCCTGAAATATGCATTCATAATAAGCCAAAGAAACAGTCGGTACGACCTTTTTGTCAACTTGATTTCTGCCTCGGTTTTATTGCATATTCTGCTTTTAGCATAAACTTGGCCAATCTTGTGCCCAAGGCCAGTCGTCGGTCGAGCACTCTTACAGTTTAGTATTTCATTCAATAAGCTCCAGACAGGGGTAGCTAATGGCAACGTTTATGGTTCCATCAGTCATTGGCTGCAGTGTTTTCCTGCTCCATGGGAACCAGACGCTGTCTTCTCAACTGTCAATTGTACCGTCTAACAATAGACAAGGCAGGAGCGTTTGGTTGGAAGGAACGTTACTGAAATGAAGCTATGTAATTAATTAAACATCATTATTTTGAAATTGAGTTTCAATGGTTATGCCATGACCTCTACATTAGTTGCAAATTGTGAGTCAATAAACCAATATTCATGTCCGAACTCGTGAGGAGGAAATTCTTTTAGCAGTTAGGTATAAACATATTCGATTTTCCTAGCATTAAAATGATTTAATTTAAGAGTTTTGAAATCATTTACTATAAATTGTTTGTTAGAATAGGGTTCTTAAAACGCTTTAAAAAACTGTTTGGGAAAGCTAATTTTTAATTGAAATTTGGGCAATTGTAGTTGAATTGGAAAATAAAGTTGATGTGGTATAAGATTCTCCTTGATCTTCTACAGCCAATTCAAATAATTTAGAATATCCTGAAAAAATTTAAAACATTAAAAAAAAATAGAGGCGAACAAACTTAATGACATTATTAAAATGTTCTCTATTTTTAAAAACTAAAAAATCCCTAAGCATAAAATTAAGTATAAGTAATTTATGAGATTTCTTGCATCAATATATAAGTACTTTGTTAACAATGCAAACACCTAAAATTTCCTTCCATTAACATTAGCGCAAGCTTGGAATAATTAGGCCATTTAGAGTAGAGCTCGTTTTATTTGTTTCCATAGCAAAAATACTGGGTTCCCAGAATTCATCGGTAATAAGCAGAATCTTTCAATAGATTCGTTCCTCTCCGCTGAGGTAATTCCCAGCTCAATTTCCATTTGACGAACCACACCATAACTGAGCCGCAACCCTTGTCCCCGCCAAACCTTAACCCCAGAAGGCAGTCTAAAATTTTCCCCCTTTCCCATAAAATGCGACTTAAAGTAATGGCGGGAGCAACAAATCAGCAAAACTGCATTGTTCTGAACTTTGCTTAATAACCAAAATTCTCGCATAAAAAAATCCAAGTTAAAAGTACATTTGGGGTACGACAAAAAGTGTTTCTGTGCGGGCAGGAGAAAAAGTCACATGATTTAGTTGCCGCCGAGCTTGCACACTCTTCGTCCCGCTCAACGCCCATCTCTTTCACACTCTTGCGCTGCGGTCAAATGGGCGACGCTGAGTAACAAAAAAAGTACAGCAAAATTTCCGCACAACAACAGCAGCAAAAAGTTATTCTAAAACTGAAACAGAAATACAGGTATTACACAATACATTTAATATTCAATTGCCAGCCATTTTTGGACCTAAAATATATCCATCTTAAATTACCTGATAAAAATGTCTCCATTTTGAGACTTAACTGTGCAATGGAAGCATACTTTTTGGCAAGCCAAAGTTTTTATATCCTTTGGCTAGATCGACATTCATAGTTGTTGCTGATCAAGAATATATATACATTATGAGGACAAAGCTTGCTCCCTTTCTTGTTATACTTGGAAAGTGAAAAACTAATAACATTTTATTGACATATGTTATTTAACAACTAAATTTTATTTGTTTATTTTTTACCAATTTTCTATAACAATTAATTTTCATTTTTAAAAAATAAACATTGTATAATTTTTTGTATAACCGGGGTGCTCACTGTACGCAGCAGCGCAGCAGAGACGGCGGCGTCGATGGAATATAATTCTTTACTGCGCCATAAGACGCTGTCGACGCCGCGGCGCTTTTCTGAGATGTAATGGAGAATCCGCCTCAGCTTATCTCGCTGCCCCGGCTGCATCTCCTTCCCTCGCTCTTGCCTAATGAAGATGATAATGAAATGAGCTGGTGCCAAGTACAAGCCCATAACCACAAGCCTTTACTTTACCAGCATCTCCCGTAGCATCGCCCTGCGATTTCACAATCTGTAATACGCTCATTTTACAAATTGCTGCAGAATGCATCTTCTGAAATATAATTAGGTCAATTTGCAATACTCTAACAAATTATTTCTAAGCCTTTTATTGGTGCTAAATCGAGTTAATGTTCGATTAGTCAAAGTTTAGTGATCGAGAAAAATGTGCACATCAAATTAATGAGTTATTGGCATATTAAAAAGCTTTTCAATAAATATGCAAAATTTAAGAAGACACACTGATAATTACAATAGTAATTAAATTTAATATTTTTGTAATACTCATCATAAAAAACAATTGCAACAATATAAAAGATTCAAAAGAAGCATTTATTGTTAAGCCAATCAAACATATTAAACATTTGAAATAATTACAACAAAAAAAATGGAATAAGCAAAAATTAAAAAAAAAAAAAAACAATATTTGTATTTTCAGAATTTCTTTGTCAAATTGTGGTTTCCATTCAATCAAGTGGTATAGGCAATCTGCCTTTTAGTTTAAAAAGGGTCATCGAAATTCGTCGATGCTAAGGCTTAATTCACAGTGGGTTCTTGCGAAATAGTTGCAAGTATTTTGTTTATTTATTTTTAACATGGCTGCGGCAGCTGCTATTGTTGCCGTTCCATCCGCCTGTCGATTTGTTTCGCTCGTTTCGGTTCTAAGTTTGCGTGTTGCATTTTTTTGTAGTTGTTGCTGGTTATTCCAGGGTGATTTTGCATTTTGTTGTTGTTTCGGCTGCCTCCAATCCCAGCAGCGTTTCAAGGTCTTTTCACTATTTGTTTTTGCCAAGTTTCGCACACATCCCATATAGTATATAGTATATAGTATATGGACGGACGGCTGGAATATGGCCGGGGTGTTAGTTTTCTGCCCGATCTCTCTGGTCTCGGGTAAGAGCGAGAAGTTTTGCTTTGGGAAAATTTCTTCGCGGGCGCGCTCGTGTGTCAGTTTTTGCTCTTTTCCACTTGACTGACAATTTGATTGGCAGTTTGCCTTTGCATTTGCCATTGTTGTTGCAGTTGCTAGCTGGCAGCGCTCTATTCTATCGTCTCCCTCCGGCAATTATATTTAATTTTATTATTGAAGATTGCAGCAAGATTTTCGCCCCCAAGGTCAGACGTGTAAATCTTCTGCTGCTGCTGCTGCTGCTGTGGTCACGTAAGCAAAACTTTTTTAGACCCAGCCCCGCCCCGTCCCTCACAATGTCGCGCCTTTTTAATGGCTGGCTGCTTTTGTTGAGTTGCTGGAGCAATTTAGTTTTTCTGTTTGGCATTTCCTATTAGAAATTCTTGGCATTAATGCAGCCGACCGGTTGCACTTGTCGTTGTTGTTATTGATGCTGCCGAAGTTGTTTTCGCTATCGCCAATTTCCTTTGTACTTATGCCAGCCGGAAGATCGTCAGCGTGGAAGTGGCAAGGTTGGCGGTGCGAGCGGATTGCATTGCGTATGCGCAATATGGAACGTTAGATTACGCATTCGCAGCGATGACACTGAAAACTTGAGCGGGAGTTTTGATCGAGCTCTACAAATATATGGGCTTAATGTCTATAATGCTACGATTGCATATGGGATGAACGGCTTGGAAAAGAAACTATTTTGAAGAAGTTCTTATTATTTTGTTCTGTAACAATTAATTTTAAAACAAGAAAGAACTCAATCGTCTAATGCCCATTAGTTCCAGACGGACAAACAGACAGACGGACAAAGGGGACATTCCTAGATCGACTCTCCTAGTGATGCTGATCAAGAATATATATACTTTATGGGGTCGCAAATGTCTCCTGTAAACTTTTGACAGAAACTATAAATATTATATAAATATTAAAACGTACCTTTACTATTATCTAAAAAAGGAACGCTTCACTATGCTTTCTTATGTTTTCCATATTTAAGCTTAGTAACTTCACAGTTGAACGTTTCTGTTAATCTAATGACTACAGAGACCTCGAAGAACTGGCAATCCACAATCATTTGAATCGATTACGATTCCACTATGTACTCAGCACTCAAGTAACTAATTGCACTGCATGGCCATAGAAAGAGATGGACGGTTTTGGAGAGAGGGAGCAAAGCTAGAATTCTTAACCAGCCATAATTGTTATATTTTTCAAGCGTATTGCAGCCTATGCGTGTCGTTAGCTCGACGATTCTGCAGCAGCAGCAGAAACATCATCATCATCGATGTCGGTCTACTCGCGGCTTGCCTGTGGAATATCATCGGAATACAAAGCTCAAGGTTACGCATACGCCATGTATGCGGGCCATGCGATGCGATTCCAAACGACGCGAGCGCAATGTCTAAGCAAATAGACGACAAACAAGCGCGGCAACGCAAACACGGACACTTGTGCGGTCCGTAGATAGAATTTTAAGCACACATGTCTCTCGGTATATGGTGGATTTCTAGGGGTTAACGGCGGTTGCAGCAGATGCCTTTTAGTGCACACAAAGTGTCAAAGAAGCCATCGATCGACAATTTTCGCAAGCAGCTGCCAAAAACATATTGAGCTTATGTGTGACCCTTTTTTAAAAAAAAAATGCATAAAAAGCTGTCAAAAGTGCTTTGCATGTAGACCAATATATGAAGACATCTTGAATAAGAAAGTTTTTATTTAAGAATCAGGCTATTTCTACGAAATTTAGATAACAGAATAGTTCGGCTTGATCAAAATATATTTAATTTTGTTATGCTAAAAATAAAATTATATATTTAAACATTTTTAAATTTCTAAAAATTTTAAATTTATATTTTAACAAAGTAACCGCTTTAATTTTTATGAATTTGAACTAGTTAAAGCTAGTAATAAACATGGTAACAGACCGTTTCCTTTTTTTCTTATTTTCCTCCGGCATTTCTAGGTTCCATCTCCTTTCGTTCCACTATTGCAACGCTAATTGCAGCGCTCAAGCGTAAAACATTTTCACAAGAACTAATAAATGCAACTGTTAGAGCTAAAAACGAGCAAGAGGGAGTCCGAAGGAAAAGGGGCCACCCACATGGAAGCCATTAAGAAATCTCAACCACTGTCTTTGCCAGCTGCTGTCTCCAAGGCATCCTCATCTCTTGTCTTCGTTGGTGGCCCAAAGGCTGCTTTAAATGCCCTCATTAATATCCTTTTTTACGGTTGTCCATGAGTTATTCGTATGCGAGGAATACTTCGTGCTCATTTTAAAATATATGCAAAATTGTTATTCTCTAAAATTTGACTTTTTTTGATGTAGTTAAGAATATTAAAAATTTATAATAGATTTAACTAATTTTAATATAGTTTAATTTTATTACAGAGTGTCAATTTCTCATGTTTCTTGATTCATCTTAGCCTGGCTCCCATATATTCTGCGAACTTTTGCAACTTTGTGCCCTTGGTTGCTCTTTTCAACTGTCTCCGGCTTGAAGTTTCTGCTTCTCCACTTTGTGGCCTGTCAAGTTTTTAGCTGCAGGCATATGCAGTCGTGGGTGTGGCATGTAAAAAATACAAATAACGAACAGGAGGAGCCATTTCTTTGCTCACAAAGATATTAAAAATATATTTCTGTGTTCTTATTTCTTTTGTATTGCTTTTTTTTAATATTTGAATTGGACATCGGTAAATATTAAGAAGAAAGGAGGATATCTTTGTTAATTGCAGACCAAAAAAGTCGGAATTTTGATTAGTCTTTCGGCCAAAGTGGGAATCTGCTCACAATCAAAGCGCCAAAGCGTGCGGCAATCAATCAGAGGGGCAGGGGAATCCTCCATCCTTCTCGTTACTGGCCAAGAATTTCAAATTGTTATGCAAATTCACAGCCGCTACTGTGTCGGATGTCTTTGGGGTGCCCGAGTGGAGAGAGTGTGGCGAGAACAAAAGCGCCAGGCAAACGCCATAATTCAAGTGGCCGCAGCGATTTCATGCCTGATTTCAATTATCAATACGCGCCATCGACAGCGGGCGACAGGCAACTGGCAACCGGCTTCCAGAGCCAAATCAATTCAGAACAGGCCAGGAACCCAGAACGGCCACAAAGCCCGAGGAGCCGACACGTCCAACAATTGAACAATGGGCACAAATCATTTCATATGCCAAACGTGTGGTCGATGATTGGACGGCTGCAGCAGCTTCCGAAACAAGAATAAAGACTGGTTAATTTTGGGGGAAAGCCAGGCTTTAAACACTCTAGCAAAACATTCATTTTTTAAGTATCTTTCTTTTTAAATATATAGGATTTTCATATTTACAGCTTTTTTTTTTAAATTTATTTAAAAACAAGAAGGAAGTATTATTATTTTAAAACAATCTTATATGTTTAATAAGTTTTATGTTTTCCGAAAAGATTCCTGTAAGACTACATATTAATTAATATAATTTTTGTATTAGAAAACAAAAAATTTTATTTACATAAATTTCTTTGAAAAAATTTTAAGCTTTATCTGTATTGTATAGAAATATTTACCTAAGTATATAGAATTAAATAATCATTCTAAAACGGTGAAATTTATTTATAATATATTGCTTTAAATGTATCTGTTATGTGTTTAACATTTTGTACTCTCCTGACTGCGAACAAGGGCTTCTCAAATTATTATATTAAAAAATCATTCGATTTTTTATATGCTTATACCGATCAATATCGCCATGTTCCTTATAGGGTATCAAAATAACAAAGACCCACTTCATCATTCAATGTACACTCCAAAGACATGTCTTCTTATTCCCATATTTTATTTTAGATCAGACTTTGTCACATTTTTGGGCAGCAATTTGTTTGCCGCTGCTGCTTTGAGGCGGCGATTTGTTTTGTCAACTGTCAGTGCTGATGAATTTAATAAATTTAAAGCTCAGAAGTCAGACAAACAATCGTCGTCAATATCATCATCGTCATCGATAACATCATCATTATCAACGCCAGTGACTTCAGCATGTTGTACATGACACAAAAGCTGCAGTTCATCGATGGCTTTTGAATATAAAAATCCACGGAAATCGCCCAAAAACGATTTGGCGAAACCATTTTTGGGGCGGATGGATCCGTTGAGTGTGGGCGTGGCTGATGGCGCATGCAGAATGCATTGAATTTTAAGTCGATACGAAAACGATTGGAATCGAATGGCTTCCACAAATTTGGTCGATTGTAATAACAACAATGAATCAGGCGAAATAAAATACTGTGACAATGAAATTGTTTGGTCATGTCATGCAGATAATAAAATAATTATATATTTATCATCTGAGCTTATCGGGACCATTAATCACAAGAAGGTATCATCGGGTGTTGAATACCAAAATATGGGGAGCAATGCAATGGGCGAATTTTAAAGGTATAAATCAAACTTTAAGAAATATAGAAAGGGATTTGGTATTTCTGAATTTGTCCCCTAAATGTCCTTCTAATTGTATGAATCATTCAAATATGGTTTAACAAAAAAGTTAACTTTATTTGCTTATTTTTTCCGCAGCTCAACGATTTCGTTTTATTTCCGACATTGTTTCTCCATCATTTATTTTACAACAGAGTAGATCGTTACCCACATTCCATTTCATACATATATTTTAAAGTTCAAATCCACCCCCATTGAAAAAATCTTTCAACGAGAGTCCATAAATAATCCCATTGGCAGCACAAAAGAGCTTATCGATAAGCGCAATTTGAAAGCTTTAATGCCCATCAAAATGCATTTTCGTTGCTCAAACGATTTGCTTTCCCAGCAGCCAAAAGAAACATTCATTAATTTTAAAGCCAATCAAAGGCAGGAAAAAGGCATTGTGTGTATGTGCTTTTATAAAGAATCCATTGCAGAATTAAATAGCAGACCGCGAAGAAAATGAGTTGAAGAATTTTTAAAGTAAAGCACGTAAAGAAATCGTAAAACATGTCAAGCTGCTGTTTCGATTCAATTTTGCTGAAATTTCGCACATACATTTATGTATTCGCCCCCTTCTTTTGTGTCAGTTCCTTTTTTCAGTTTTATTACATAACATGAAAAGACGTAAATGTGGCTAAGAGGCAGAGGAATTTTCTGAGGAAGGTTGGAGGGAAACCGAAGTAATTCTTATGATTATCATAATTTATTTGGCCTTCGAGGGAGCGGAGACTTATGTGGATATACAAGAGTATGTTTCTACGTATCTGGAAATGAAAGCAAACTGAAGAAGAGTTCTGTTTGCTCATTGTGAGCCGGCTGTGGTGACGTCTTCCGTGCCGCTTCGTGACTCCCAAAAGTGCACAAAAAAAGACAGTCCCATCTAACTAATGCTAAATACTCTGACCTTGGCTCGGTCTCAGGGTCTTGAAAATTATATGCCAGCGCCAGCACCTAACAAAACGCTGTACAAAAACAATTTCCACTCAATGAATAGAAAAATTGCTCACAATTGTTTGTCGGCATCTGGCTCATAACGATGTTAACTAAATAATTAGCTGACATAATTTCGCTTGGCTAAGAGCTGTAAAAGACTGGCCCATTAGGCACGAGCTTGCGTCTCCGAAAAGTCGAAAAGCCAAGTCAAATGTGTCAAATTAAATGCGCATTAGTCGCGTCATTACAAGTATCCAACATCAGAAAAAAACCGCAGAAGCTGGCCGGCCAAATGTGTCTCGCTCACTCTCTTTAAATAAACTTTAAGTATATTGTATACTTATGACTATTAAACAATTAAATGGCCAGCAAAATTTAATTGCATAATTAATAAACATTAAAAGCACTTAGCTATGGCAACCGTCTCTCTTAATGCCATACAATTTGCAGTTGTCGTTTCTTCTATTGAATTTCCGATGTTCGACTCTCTTCGTCTCTCTTTCTAGCTCCGCAATTTTCTCTTCAACGTCAATCTTCACAAGACACGCACCGTGCGGCGTATACGTAATTTTTTGAACTATTACAACAAGGTGAGATATACCACGTTCAAAATGTTTAGCATGTTTTCATAGAGAATAAAAGACGTGAACAAACAGGCGGCTTCCGGTTTAAGTTTACAAATTTTATTCGATTATATCAAGATTTGGTACATACATAATTTATTTATTATATAAATTACAATATTGAAGATTATAAAAAACAAATAAATGGATGTTAAACGATGCCGTTTGCCGTTAGATAAGGTCAAACATAACAATTAAAAAAAAATATCCCTCCCCTGGGTGTACAACTCACAATAAAATTGGTCCTCAGAGTGTCCAATGCTGAAATTCAAGAACCGCAACGAGAACCCCAAGGAAAACATACAAGATATGAATTAAAAGAACCGATAAGTAACTGTGTAAATAAATAATGTAATCTGGTTAAAAAATAGACATAAAACACACAATTTTGATGTAAAAAGAAAATACCAAACGAAATACCATCTAAAATGGAAAAAACATGCAAACAAAACAACGGGCCGGTGACCTTCACCTACAACTCAGGCGAGACTAGACCCACCTAGACCCCATAACCCACCTCTGTCCCCCGCCTCCCCGCTTCAAATGCCACCAGAAAAAATCTAGTTGGTCATGCGGGACAGCGCCTACGCAATTAGCAGACTGCCCTGGTGATACGTATATAGAACACGGTAAAAAAATATATTATTTTATTTAAAACTGTCAAACAACTTCATTTTCAAAAGAATTTTTCAAATCCAAAAAAAATTTCTTTGTTTAGGTCAAAGCAAAAATTAATTTACAACTTAAATGATTTTTATATGGCATACATCAATAATTTTAATTTTATTTTCTTAAAGTGTAATCACAAATGCCAATCATACCGCACCAGAACCAGATTCAATACTATTGTAGAGCCATAGAAAGTTTATGCTCAAGGTATCCACATCGAAGTCTGCGTTGTTAGTACTGAAATTGAAATTAAAAATTTATTCTAGTCTGGTTCTCCTCGCGCTGTCACCCCTCTGAAACTTTTGCTTTCGTTTGCCTTCTTGTTGTTTATTTTGGTTTGTTATTTGCGTTTGTCTTTTTCGCACATAAAACGTGTGACTTGAACTTTGAATTAATTCGTTCAATAATTTACATTTTTTTACCTTGCTGAGTATTCTTGGGTACTTCTCGGGTCTTTGTTTGTCTATTTCCCTCAGTTATTTATTTATTTATTTATGAGTCGAGCGGGATTGCAGGTTCTTGTTTTCTTGACTCGGAATTTGTTTGGTTTTACGTGTGTGGCTTAAACTTTTATTTTGCTAGTAGATTCTAAGAAATCGACGGCAGTTATGGCGGCAGTGACCAAAACCCATCTATATTGAGCCAGACTTGGTGGTAAACACTTCTCGGAAGTGACAATAAAACCGATTTAAGTGTATGTAATTCCCGGCTATGTGCTTCGCATTCGCAAAAGACCTAAGAGTTCGGTTTTGATAGCCGATGGGGATACACTTGATGATTCAGATTGGGGTTTTCTTGGGGACGGTTAATCTAAAATACTCGGAGCCAAAAATAATATATTTTATATACTTACTCAAAACAAAAGTTAAAGCAAAAGTCATCTGATTAAAGTTTTGTGTTAAAAATAACTTACCATAGTTTAAGGAATTACTAATAAAAAGATAAAATTAAGTTGTTTAGTAATAACATCATTAACTGAGTGTGTTCTTTGTTTTCCATCACATTCATAGTCACGAACGGTCTTGCTTATCAGCAACAAAATAGTCATATGTATGGCTTGCTTGACCTTTTTATGAATCACCTAAAACCCACCCATTCATAATTCTAAAACCCACACTCGCGGCCAAGAATAGTAGATAAAAATAACTTACTTTTTATTGTTTCCGCTTAAGGTTAAATCATGAATCTACCAATCTAACTAATTCTCATTAAAAAAATTTGGTCTTAACCGAAATATAATTTTTACAAAAAAATGGATTTTTGAAATTTCATTTTTAATTTTCCAGTCTGTCATGAAAATCTTAAATTCTATTATATATTTATGTAAATGTTCAAAAGAAAGACAAATAAATTGTTGTAAAATTGTAATGTTATGTAAAGTTTTTCCTGAATTTTCGATTTCATAGTTCATGATAAAGTGCCATTATTGCTTGGTTAATGAATACGACCATACTTTGGATTTTATTATTCATTACTATTCTTAACATTAGATTTCCTTTTTTAAAATGCTAATGCATTCAATTTGTTCATTTAATCCTACACGTAAGGTTTTAATGTGCTTGTTCAAAATGGCCAAAGTTAAGTTATTTTTAAAGTTAATCTTCTCTAGAAAACCTAACCAAAGCTTTGGCCCTGGTTGGATTTTCATTAAATGTTGGCATTGTTTTGGATGCAGTCTCGTCTGGCTCCCTTTTAACCCATTCGACCCCGAAGTTGCCTGTGAGCAATTTCAAAAGTTTAACGGCTATCGGTAGTCGGTGCTTTTGTTTTTGTCTGCTTATTCTTCGAGATAACGGTGCTTTGATGTGTATACTTAGAATGTAAGCAAAAAAATTCTAGTTTGCGCATCATTTGACGAAATTATTTGGAATGTGCTGGACGTGCCTCGCGTAAAAAGTGATTGTTGTATTGTGAGGTATATTGAAAAGAAAGTGATTTACTTTTTAATTACGCATTAAAAGTTGAAGAATGTGAGTGAAATTTGTTAATAAATGAATTCTTTAATGCATGTTGTAGTTCAATCTAATTGATTTCTATTAAAAAACAGCTGAGGAATTTTCAAAGTAATAAAGTTGCTTGTGAGCAACCTTGGGCCATTGCACCACCAAAATATGAGACCAAAAGAAAAAGGTTTATCAAATGATGATATTGAGAGAATTGTCAACTTCGATTGGGATGTCTCCAGTGACGAAGAAAGTGGTGATGAAATGGAAGACATCTCTGGAATGTTGGAGAATAATTTAAAAAGTATATTGGAAAGGGGAGAATCAATAGAATTTGAGCATATTGAAAATTTGATTGATGAAAAAAGCATTCAAGAAAATAGTGTTGTGGCTGATAATTGCTTTGAAAAAGTTGATCCCAAAACACTTAAGTGGAGAAATAGGCCATTTCAAGCTCCAGGGTGTATTTGGGAAGAAGATAGTAATCGCCAAATCGATGAAGTGAAGACCCCTGTAGAGTATTTCTGCAGCTTTTTTGACAATAATGTTATTGATTTAATTACAAATCAAACTAATTTGTATGGGTTGCAAGAGCACGGCATAGAGCTGCAATGTACTGGAGATCAAATAAAAAGGTATATCGGAATTTTATTGTACTTGGGTGTCATAAAAGTACCTCAATTTAAAATGGCTTGGTCAAAAGAATACAAGCTTTCTGCTATATCGGATGCAATGCCACGAGGAAAGTTTGAAAAAATCAAACAATGTTTACATTTCAACGATAATACAAAACAACTAAAAAAAGGTGATTTGAACTATGATAAACTGTACAAAATACGCCCTTTACTTGACATTCTCAAAAAAAGTTTTGGTAAACTACCCCAAGAAGAACATCAAAGCGTTGATGAGCAAATCATTGCGTACAAAGGTATTCAGATTTAAATTTTATTAAAATTTAATTTTAATTTTAATTCAATTTTAATTTTTTGTCAGGCCAATCGTCTTATAAGCAATACAACCCAGCTAAGCCTCACAAATGGGGTTTAAAAATGTTTACGCGCGCTGGAACATCTGGATTAGTTTATGACTTCACACTGTATGTTGGCGAAGGCACTTGCCCAAACTTTGGATTGGGAATATCTTCAGATGTGGTATTATACTTATCAAAAGGTCTTCCCAAAGGCAAACCTTTCAAGCTGTATTTTGACAATTGGTTTACGTCAGTTAGTCTCTTGGTTGCATTGAAGGAAAATGGCATATTTGCAACCGGAACTATCCGCAAAAACCGCATAAGCAGCTGTAGACTTCTTTCAGATGCAGAATTGAAAAAACGTGGAAGAGGATCATTTGATACAAAATATGAAGTAAACAATAATCTGATATGCGTCAAATGGTTTGATAATAAGTCGGTTCAACTACTATCTTCGTATGAAGACCATCAGCCAGTTGGAATGTGCAAACGATGGAGTCCTAAAGAAAAAGTTTACATTGATGTTGTAAGGCCTGCTATCGTAGGCTCTTATAACAAGGGTATGGGAGGAGTAGACTTAGCGGACATGCTTATGGAGCTATATAAAATAAACCACCGTTCAAGAAAGTGGTACATTAGAATTTTTTATTGGTGCTTGGGAACATCAATGACAAATGCATGGCTGCTGTATAGAAAAAATTTTCATTTTCTAAACCCAAATCAAAAGTATATACCGCTCATCAAATTTCAAATGGAAGTTGCTCATGAGCTGCTACAATGTACTTACTCTACTTCATTTGAAAAAAAGAGGGGTCGGCCATCAAATATGCAAAGAGAAAACTCAATAATATCTTTGGGTTCTCCAACTAGCAGTGTGTCTTCCAATCAATCCAAAAATACAAGTTTCAGCCAAATCCTACAAATTCTATGCGTTACGATTGCATGGAACATTGGGTGGTATTTACTGAAAAAGGGCGTTGCAGACTGTGTAAGACAGGAACCCCAATGTCAAAATGTATTAAATGTAAAGTACACCTATGCTGTAACAACAATAAAAACTGTTTTATGTCTTACCATACTTAAAAATTGAAAATAAACAAAAATAACCATCAACTAAAAATGTATTCTTTAATATACACTATGGCCCAACGTTGCCCACAAGCAACATCCGGTAGCGCCCAAACTAGTGGGGGTGGGGAGTTCAAACTTTACTCAAATACTGCTTGGCCCAATACAAACAGAATACAAAAAAAAAATATTTTTTTTTCGACAGGGAAAAAGTTGGGGTCGAAAGGGTTAATATTAATCCGTATGTATTTGTATATGTGTCCGTTGTTGTCTTCTTCATCAGCAGCATCAACAAAAGCTCCTGGCATACATTCTATATACTTTTGCGGCTTTGTTTGCACATTGACACAGGTGAAACTAATTAGGCCACAAAACCCAGCTCATTTCTGTTTTATTTGTTGGCCAACAAAGCAAAAAAGAAAGGAAAATAAAAACAACAATATCTTACAATTTAAATAAACAAACGTACAGGTGAACTCATTTCTTTCATTTCGCTTGCAAAAACTAGAGAAAAGCTTGTTGCTTCTTCAGCTTTTGTTTAAACATTTTGCAGTCGTTGAACTCATAGTCTCCTTAAAAATCGATGGAAATAACACTTGCGCTTGAATGTTTTTTGTGTTCGAAAAAAAAGTAACTAAAATTGACCCAAATTTAGGACCATCCGATGGCCAACAGACCGTATGCGTAATAACATTTTAGTTTTGCTAGTTTTCGCTTTCATGCTAGCAAATCTGCCTAAAACGCTCCCCGCAAAATATGAGAGGGGAGAACGTGCCCCTGCAAAATGAGTTTCATTTGCAAAACGCGCGTGAAAAATTCATTAAAAGTCTTCATAGTCCAAGCAGCCAGCTGCCGTTGTTGCTTTTTGTACTGTGCGCCTAAATACACTTCCTCTTATTTGGGGTTAGAAAGGGGCGAGATCGCTAAACCGATCGGCTTGCCATTTTCAAGGAGGATAGGCAAGGAATATATATTAAATAAGTTTATAATTCTGCAAATTATGTGTCATTAAAACCACAAGTAATTGTCATGTTGTCTTTAACAATGTCATAAATAAATATTTAACAATCCTGCATTAGTACCTATTTTTTTATTTTATAATAAATACTATTCATTTGAATTAATAAATAATTGATTTTTTTTTCTAAATTTGCTTAAGTATAAGATTTTACAGGTTTTATAAATTGTTTTATATTAAACTATTAGATATGTTAATATATATATAAAAAAATGTTGCAAAAAATATATATCAAAAATAAACAGGTACATGTGGAAAATTTTAAAACAGAAGTGTATCTCCGTTCGGTGATTTTTGAAAACTTTTGCCTTTTTTTTATACAATTTTTTTGTTGAAGAGGAAAACTCATAATTGCAGCATTTTTCACTTTGTTTCTTGGGAATGTGCGCACAAAAAAGTTGCTTATTAAAATTGAGCGAAATTTAATAAGCAGCGTTTTATGCAGGCCGACTGCGGGAATAAAATGGTGGAAGGGAGAGCCCCGGGGAGAGTTTTCCTAAGAGTTTTCCCGGCGACCGCCTCTGTGGGTGATGCCGAGGTGGGTGGTGGCTGGCACTTCTGCTGGGCATTTGCCGATGGTGGCCGGAAAATGGCCGTCGTCGTAGTCGTCGGCACTTGGATGTGTTGATTATGAAACCGCCAAAGTGGGTCTTACACAAGTGTGTCTGCTTAGAGGGGTGGTGCTGCTGGGGAATATCCACCCGCAAGTGGCGCAAAAATGCAGGCAAAGTCACGTTTTGTGAGAGTAACCAAATGTGTAACCAAATGGCCGCCATAAAGATGTACTATTCAACCTAAAAACCAGAAAAATTAAAATGCCAGCAAAAAATATGTTAAATATATATTTTGCATATGCTTAAGAGAAATGAGTTGCTTTGTGTGCAGATAGAGGGGTTTGGTTGGGGACTGGTTGCGTGCTTTATGGCCAAATGCAGCTGATGATAAAACTGTGTCTGCAATGGAATGAATGGATGAACTTAATTTTTAAGAAATATTTATAAATAAAGTAAACACCATAACAAATAAGAAGATTACTCTCGAATATTCAAAGCAAAAAAAATACATTAATAGTGTTCAACTACTAACATTATTTTGAATAGTTTTCTTAAGTGTTAGAGTGGTAAGCCCAATAAATTAAGCAACCATAATCAGCTGAAAGAAAAGAAAGTTATCCATCAATGACTTCTCTCACCATCAAGTCCCATATTTACCTGGTTTTGTTTTTCCACCTTAAAATATTATGTCAGTTCTAGTTTATTTTGTTTGCTGGAAAACAAAATATTTATTTAAGTTAAGCCACCTCTTCTGACTCAATTTGAAAACTCCACTCGTGAATTTACATTTCAATTATACCAACTCACCTTCCGCTCCCCCAAAAAGTTATTCATCCAACTGGGGACGGAACCCAAGATAGCAGATATGAATCATAGGTGCGCCGGGACTCAAAAGAAGGGTAGAGACAGATACAGACTTAAGCCCAGCCATGCCTACAACACCGGTTACTTGTGAGCAGCTGAAGGATTGGAGCCTGGCAGCCTGGGGGAAATAGTAACAGGACGGGGAGGAACGGAGCCGGGACCCAGGCTGTCTGGCAGTCGCAGGCTGTGTTAGCATTTTCATAACCTTGTCAGCTTGATATGCGCATAAATTTGAACCAGTGCACATTGTTTATTTAAATGACGTCTACCGGTTCACAGCGGCAACAAACATCCACCCGAAAATCCAAAGCCAAACAAACGAAAAAGGGGAGACGTTAACAACTAGGTGGGTTTATGGGTTCGTTTTCTGCCAAATACTTGATGTGAACTTAAATATGCTTTATATATATATATATATATATAAATTTATAAATACCACTTTAAAATATTCGACGACATAGCAGTCAAACATTTTATATTAAGAACTTAAATTGAAAATCATTTAATGGCCTATCATGACATACATCTTAAAATCAAAAAGTATCTATTTAACCTTCTCTTTAATCCCAAATAATATTTTGCTTTCTGACCAAGTAAGAACTCTTGCGACATAAATTTCAGCACAGCAACTGAAATGTGAATGTTGTGAGCAAAAATTGCATAGAAGCTTGAAAATTTATGCTAAGCAAATGCAGACAGCTTAGAGTTGTTTGTTGGAATGGCATTCGGTCAATATAAGCAATTTTCTAAGAAGTCGAAGCCCGTCGCGATGAAAGCAAAAGTCGCTCGGTAAACGATATAGAGCCGGCGGCGGTAACGGCTCAGCTTTTGCCTTTGCACCAACTTTCGGCTTCTACCTTCTGGTATCCGTATCTGAGATTGTGTCTGCATCTGTATCTGTCGTCAGGGCGCAGCACGTGTCCAACGATTTTATCAATGTCAACGGCAGTCGCACTCGCAGCCTGCTCCCTTCCCTTTTCATAATTGCCGCAGGCCAGCAGCAACAGTTTGAACAGTTTCAGCTCGGATTCGGATTCGGTATAGCTCTGGAATAAAATCCGACGTTGGGGCGTAAGCTGCACGTAAGTCCCGGAATGTGCAGTCAATAGATACAAGGCTTATAAAACTACCATAAAAATAGTTTCAAAAAGTCAACGAAGTTATGTTACACTTCCATATTAATTGAGAAAGATGAAAATGTTGACTGGTTTTATTGTGAAAACCATATTAATTGTAAATTATAAAAACTATACATGATTTGTAAAAGAATATACAAAAATATAAGACTAGAACAAAAAGTTAAATGTGTTCTCGAACTATATCAATTTTTGTTTTAAGTTTTTGATATTTGCTTAAATCATAGAGCATACAACTTCACTTGCAATGGCCGCTTTTCTTGCCGCCGAATTATGCGTAAAATAAAACAAATCGCAAGCTGTCCTCAAAAACGTACGCAGGATGCGGCTGAATTGAAGGTGAAGACAGCGCCGGCGATGATGACTCCGATGACAATCGGGCCCAAGATGCTGATGATGTAAAGAAGCGTGACAATTCGACAAATATTTAACTTGGGCCCCCGGCCCAGCCATAGCCCCGATCCCTCAGGGCCAAAGAATTTGCGCAACTTTCTACGGCGAGCAGAAGGCAGGGCCTGCGCACGATTTTCACTTTTCATTTATGAGTTATAATGGCCTGGCCACTGCTGTGACATCATCGCACGGAGGGGCAGTTGGGGGCAGGGCCAACTGACTTCGGACCCTGGCCAAGTCAAGTCAAGTGTCAGAAAAGTGAAAACTCCCTGGGCGAGTGTTTGTTTTGTGTGTTTGTGTGTTTGTATGTGCGGGTTTATGGCTGCCGTCTGTCTCGATGTTTATTTTTCTTTTTTGGCGATCCAATTTCAAGTGGCCCGCTGTTTATTTATTGTCGGACTGCAACAGCCGCCGCCGCAGCACCCAGCAGCTGTTGCCATAACAAAAAAGCCCGGCCACACACCGAAACACATATATACACGCAAAATAATTGTTAACAATTGCAGACAGTTTCAGGAGAAACGGAAGGCAAGCCAAAAACCAAAATTAGTCATTGCAAAATGGTTATATCACATTAATCCCAGCTCTTAAGCTGTTCTTATTTCATACAATGCACTCAACAGCATTTAATAAAATTTAATGATATAGTTAATATAATAAAATACTAATAAAAATTGGTACGTTAGGCAATAAAAATCATATGGAAAATAATCAAATTTAATTCGCATTTTGAACGATGCAGAGATGCTGCAAATTTCCACTTCGTTTATAGCTTGGAGTCATAACGAAAATTTAAGTGCTAACGATCGATATATATAACCAGTATAAAACAAGCTTTATAAGATGAATAATTGCTTGTATTCATTAACACTTAGTTTTAAGTACTAATTTTATCGTAATTAAGCAAATATTGATATTGTCAGTGCAGTTTCTTATTAATGTATTGAAATTAAAAAAAAAGGAAATTAAAAAAACGTTTTAAAATAAATATAGTTTAGTTTTCGTTAATTATTCATTTATATATGCAATAAAATTGTGATTTGTAGTTGGATATATCTTTATTGCTATGGCAATAAAATAATGCAAATTTATTTAGCTTCTTACCCAACTTCATTTCGGCATTGAAAAATTCCGATTCACCACAAACGCAAACAGAAGTCACATCAAATTGCATAAATTCTTCAAATAGCCAATGTTCATGGCACTCTATATAATCCAAAGCCCATTCCACCCGACAACTGTAGCCACAGAAATCGGAACCGTTGCCACAAAAATTAGAGTAGGGGAATATTTTTTTGGGGTGGAGAAGGGAGTGGGACACAAATGTCAATAATTCAATCCAAAAGCTGACCACACAAGTGGTCCGTCCGCCGCCTGACCCATTGCTCATTTGTGCGGCTCATTGGTCTTGGTCTCTGCCTTTTATTCTCACCCCTCGCAGAGTTTCCAGTTTCTTAAAAAACTTTTGTGAAAATTGGCTGTCATGCGTTTTCCCCTCACTGAGCAGAGAACTTTCACAAAAGAAGAGAAAAAATTAAGACATTTAACGCTTTTTTCATTACAGCTTCAGTTGGGTTCTTTCCCCCCAATTTGCGGTTTGCGTGTCCTTTTTGACGAGATGACAGCGGCAAAAGTTTCTGGGGACTGGGATGCTGCAAGACCATTACAAATGGCACCATAAAATTGGCTAGAAGTTTGTGCCGCCCAGGGGAATCTTTGTAAGTATTCTTTTAATTGTTTGTTAACAGTAAATTTATTTTGAAACGAGTGGAAACGTGAAGCTGCGAAGTAAACGGTTTTTTATTTTGAAGTTGTTTCTTCACCAATAAGATGGCAAAAAAGACTGCCAAATTAAATTTATAATTTAAAAATTGTTTTCTACGCATATAAATTTGAAGATGAAATATACTTAACGGGCATTGATTAAATATTTATTAAAATAATATGCACATTTAACTGTCTATTACTAAAATAAGTTTTAATTTTTTGCTTGCTTATGAAGATTGATTGTCTTTATCAAATTGTGTTAACTGCTTTAAGAATTGCATTAATAGAGTTGTGTGTATGGGCTATTGATTTGGCCCACCAAGGGCATTCGACAATTCGCCGTTTTCCATTTCTTTGATTTTTTGGTCAGGAAACTGGCGACGACACACGATACGTTATCGTCAGGAGCTTTGGTTGTTTGTTTTGTGGCAACAGGGAGACCACACACACACTCCAGGGCCCAACCCCGACCCCTAAAAAGCACCACCCCTCGGTACGTGAGATTTGATAAACTGCTTTTCGACTTTATTGCTGTTTTGGCACAAAATGCCATTTTTTTATTTTTTGGCAAGGCCCAATGTTTTCATCTCTGCGCTGCGGCTTGTCCATTTTATTTTGGACATTTTGAATTATTTCGTATTTTTGTTGTTTTTTTATTACTATTTTTATTTGCTTTTATGTGTTTATTATATGGCCTGATTTCAGAGTTTGGTCGAGCGCAAAATTGAGACTTTTTATGGGGTGGTTGGGATGCTTTTTGATAGGTTGTAAGTGCTGTACACTTGGTCACAGTTTGGAACTTCTTACAGTATTCCATACTGGGAATTGCTTTTTAATTCGGTTTCTTCTTTGATTGTTTTTGTGTTTCCTTGACTTCAAGTGAGTTGTTTTTTGAAATGCCGCTTTGGGAATTTTAGCTGGGGTAAAAACGTTGCAAAACATAGTCTGTGTTTCATTTTGTGTGGTTACCGTATATTTGTTTGACTCTTTTACTTAAGTGCCTATTTAAATAACACCTAGAAGTCGTTAGTTTTGTTGCTAAATTTGTGTCCTTATTGCACATCTTTTCTCTCTGGCAACAGCCAATGCTCTTTTCAAAAAATTACATTAAATGTTTCTTAAAGCAAAAATAGTTCTTCCATGAGAGTTGCAAACTTTTCGACACGAAATCGACTAAAAATTACGTTTTCCCTTAACCCCACACTTTGCGCTCCACAGCAACACATTACTGAAGACACGCCCTCTACGCTCCTTCCCCTCCTTCTGCATCTAATTATGCGAATGCATTTAAGCGCACAATTTTGTAATTTTTTTCGCTGGTAAATTAGGTCAGATTTAACATATTCATTAGAACTTGAGTAGAAGCAGTTTGGCGATTAGAGGGGAGCATGTGGGGAAGCTGCAGCGGGTTACATAAGAAAATATGTGTGGATGGGGTGTGGGTGACTGGTACAGGGTCAGGGGAGGCAAACTCAAAGGAAGCGAGGAGAAACTTTCAAGCGCTTTTAATGGTGATTACAAGTGCACACATACACACATGGCAAAAAAGTAGAATGAAAAATAAAAAAAAAATATTAGAAAATTGCATTCTGTAGCAGTAACAACGACGGCCTCGTTTTGGCTTTGATTTTGCCCTCACGATAAGCATTCGTTACAAGACGGAAGAAAACTAAGTGGAAAAGAGCTAAAAAATGAAAAAAAAGAAGCAGACGAAAATAATACCCTTATCCATTGAAGGGTAATCAAAAAAATGCAGGTTGTCTCTACGTAAATTAATTTAGTTTTTCGAAAACGTACAAAAATAAGTATACGTGTTTAAATACTTTAGCCGCTAATTTTAAAAATCACTAGAAACAGTTTATGATAACCTTTTTTAATCTTAACAGAATAAAAAAATAAAAAGATCACGCCCATATTGGGCTAATAAAAGACATACTATTTCCTTGAATTTGAAACATTTATTTATTTTAAAACTTACTTTAAAATCAAGAGACTAGTTTGCGTAGAAACGAACTGACGGGTAGATCGACTCTCCTAATGATGCTAATCATAAATATAAAAATAATCTAAAAATATATTATTTTGTAAGCATAGCCAGTTGAGAACAATAATATTTTCGGGTTGCCTGAGTAAGTAATTAAATAAAGAGCATCACGTTCTCGCAGTGTATCAATGCCAAGCTACCCTCGTTCCTGAAGGAATTTCAAACGACTGATAAGAGCGGCGGCAGCAACATCTACAGCAGCAGCAGCAACAGCAGCGGCAACATCGATGGCGTCGAATGTCTCAATGCGAGGAGCAGACCGAGCACTCGAGCACGCATCATATGTGCCCTCAATAAGGCGTGGCTCAGTCATTGAGCTGCTCTTTTTCGACCAATGTCTCGGTTTCAGTCACTATTCACATTCACTGCTGACACCTCCGACCCTAATTCTCCCCCTTATTATGTCTATAAGTTTAAATCTTCTTCGTCAGCTTCACTTTACGTATGCTGATGCTTTGTCCCACTGCTGATTCTCTGCTTTTACAGTGAAGATTGCCTAAGCTATATTTTCAGTATGTATGTAAATTTACATTAGTTGATGTATTTAATAAAGTCAAACAAAACAACTTTGCTTAGTAACGGGAGCAAATATACAATTGGTACCTAAGTTTTCTGAAATGGATATAACGTTTTTTTACATATTGTTATATTTACAATGAGAAAAAAAAATACCAAGATATACCCACCAATTTTTCAGAACAAAGTAGTATATTCTCATATCAAATTGAAATACTGCACATATCATTATGGTATGTTTAAGAACATTTTTATATCAATATATATTGTTATGTTTTTTATACCCAATTTATATATTTTTAGATCAGCTTGATACGATTTTTAACATCAATTTGATTTGCCCCACAGATAAAGTAATATGTTTTTTTATAAACGTTTTATACGTATTATAAAAATATAAAAATTGGTTACTTATTGTGATTTTTTTTTAGCATGACCGAACGTACGCAGTTTGTATCAAAGTTTGACTGTACTGCTTCCTCTGCTTATATTGCTGCTTTTGCTGCTTCCTCTACCATTTTTATGAGCACTTCAATTACAAAAGCACGCAAGTCGCCATCATTTAATGGAATTAGTACAATGACAATTGTGGCCAAAGACCAAGGAGATGTTAAAGAAGACGACTTAGCTCAACTCAACTCAACTCAACACGAAACGCGACACGAAACCGCACGATATGAGTGCGGCGGCAATAGAAATAAATTGAATAAATGCGAAGCCAGTCGCAACAGTAGAAGAACCAAAGTAAAGAAGAGGCGAGGTCACTCAGTCGCCGACTGATAATTTTCGGCAGATAGGCAATTGCCATGGAATGGAGATCATCAGCTATAGAAACTTCAACAACAGCAGAAGTGCACCAGAAAAAATATGCTGTCTAATAATTTATAACTTGTTAGGTTATTTTTAACTTGTTTGGTGTTTACAAGTGAATTTTTCTAAAAATACATATATGAATATTATTCTTATAGTTTTCTACCATATGAGTAACCTCAGTGGTAAAATTTTTTCCCAGTGCATCAGCAGCAGAAGCAGCCGGGCCCATCCCCAATTTCCATCCATTCATTTCAGTCAGCTGCAGAACAACAAAGACCCGTGTCGATGACAATTAGCGATTGGATGGGACGGCATCGAACCGCGTGGAATGGGTGGATGTGGATGTGGATGATGTTTGTCTCTGACCCAAACATTTTATATACCCTCTTTGCACGGCGGTGGGGCACACCTTTAACCAACTGGTAGCAGGAATATGTAGAGCATGGAGCGTTGTGTTGCGCCATAAATTAAATCTAACACCCAGAACACAGAGACAACATAGCCAGCGATAGATCGGTTGGCAGCGATAGATCCCCTCCAAACTCATTTCTAATGGCAAGTGGAACAATGCGAAAAAATTACACGCTTCAATGGGCTGTTCAACAATTTATCAAGCTTGAATTTGAATCCACATTAGCCGAACGCTTTTGTCGGACCTTAAATTGAAAGCTAGCTGAATTTCAATCGTAGCAAACAGCGAAATGCAACTTTAAGTCATACATCAGTCCATCTGAGCCAAGGAAACTCCATCAAAAGTGGCCCCATGAGTGTCGTTTCAAATGGTATCGGGTCGTCCGCTATCGTTTAGCGCAAAAGTAACTTTAAATAAACAAGCAATGGCAAATAAAATAAAAAAGTTTCGAAAATCATATGGTAAGTTATCGAATCACAAATGCTCTTGATGGAAACAAATTTAAGTCTGTCAAATATAAAAGATTTCATCCGGAAATCGTTAAATTTAGACGGTTTTATGGTCTATTAAATGCTTTTGACTAACTTCAAAAATACTGATCGACTTTAATTGCTTCACATTAAGTTTATCTTGTGATTGGTTATTTATGTATCGAATTCATTTAGTTTGAAACTTTGTATTTAAATAAAGCCAATCTACTTAACATAGTCTATGTCCCCTATGTCACACTCTTAACGCTTTCAACTCCACTCATATGTATATAGATAACATCACAGACGCTCAATCGTCGTCGTCATCAGTAATGTATCGCTTCGAGGTTTGAATGACGCGTATCATTGGCAATTAAATTAAAATATACACAACTTTAAATACGTACAAATAAAAATACGGCCACTGCGAAACTGGAAGCAGAAGCCCGTACAGGCAAACATGTTGTCGTACAAACATACAAACTTTTTGCAATGCCAAGCGCTTCCCAGATACAAATGTATCTGTATCTGTATCTATGTGCGAGCGGACGACCGACTGCAGTCGCTATAGTGATTTTTCGCCAGTGACATTTTAATTGCTGTTATGTTTTATTGATATACAAAAACTACTAAAGCTAATTGTTTTATTGTTAAATGCGCTTTATTTGCTCTCTGAGTGGCAGCTTAATAATCAACTTTAAATATCAGACAATTAGCGCTATTATGGGACGCTTATACCTATCTGTTTCCCCTCTCGCTTTCCCGGCAGATCGCTACTATTTCTTCACTCTGCTCGCATTGAATCTTTCGATTTGATGGATTGTATCCAAGTTCCGAGTTGACATTGCAATGTTTTTAAGGCGTTAATTGCGATGGGGGAAGTAAATTACTCAAATATCTTTGTCAGTTCTTGAGGGTTCCGAGATTCGACTTTGAAATGAGCACTGATAGAATTTATATTGAATAAATATTACTTTCGTTATCTGATATATTTTATAAACAAAATTATTTAAAATACAAATGTAATTGAAAATTGAAAATATATTTTGTTCAACACTTAATAATAAAGAAAAGTCCCAATTTTTTCAACCATATACATAAATTGTTAATTGATTTAAACTATTACTATACCATAATAAATAAGGCTGCAAAGCCTATTTCACCTTGTCCTCGAAATTCCGCCTATTCAATTACATAATTTCATTAACTCACCGTACTCGTAACACAAAATTTGTTTGCATTAACTGCCGCTGCTGCCTCTTCTTCCACCTCCATTGTTCTGCTTCTGGAAAAACACTTGAACTGCTAACTGGTGACTGGTGACTAGGTTCCTCCTTTTCTGTTCTGTGTACCTCGGTATTCTGTACTCTGTACTGCTGGAAGTTCGTATGTGTAATGGTTGAAGCCCGGAACGAAGAAACGTGCACAACAAGAGCTCGTCATCATCATCAATATCATTATCGTCATCGAATCCAATGCCTCAAATGACATTTCCGCACCTGATGGCCCCACCAACCGCCCAAGTCATTCATCAGCAGGCAGCTATAAAATAGCCTGTGCCTTGTCTATATCTCTTTTATGCCCTTTGTTGATAAGGTAACATGAATTGCGGTTAAGACTTAGCAACAGCCTTTTTCAGAGAGGTATTTGTTTTGTGTTTAAGAAGCTTTTTATATAAATATATAAATATATTTAAAATTTTCTTTTGTAAAAAATGTTTAAATGGCTTATTTTTTTGATTAAAAAACATAAATAGCTCTTATTTTCAGCTGCAGGAAAAAAAGGCTTTTTAAAGTTCTAAATAATATCCAAATATTGGAGATTAAATTATTGGGTTAAGATCAACTATATAGTACATACAAATACACTTTGCAATAAAAACTTCATATAAAATGGTTGTAAATTTGTTTTTCCATTGTTTGTAATTTTTAGTTTATATTTAATCCCAAAAATGTAAACCCAAGTATTTGGAAATTAATTAGAAATTATCTCGCTAAAAGAGTATCTGAAGCTAGGGCTAAAAAGCCCGTCAGTCGATTCACTTTTTGCCGTACCGCTGTCCGGGCTAACTGTCCGTCCGTTTGGCCTCCGTCCGTCTCTTTTGCGTCTGAAGTGCGTGCTTGAGTTCTGCCTGTGCCGTCCATCCTCTTCTTGTTCTGCTTCTGCTGCTTTTGCTATTGCTTTTTTGGTGCCTTGCGTTTGCACTGCGTTCTTTTCATTTGGCTCTTGTGCAATCCCCACACTCGCACACACCCTCACACAATCGCAATTTCTATGCCACTTGTCCATGCCGCCACTTGTCTTCCACTTTATGTGGTCGCCGCTGGCGGTAACTAACCAAGCCGAGGAACAGCCGAACCACCGAACCACCGAGCCACCAGCGGCTCACCATTACCACCACCACCTCCACCATCAGCGTCCCGAAAAAAAAGAACCCAAGACAGACACTTCAATTGATTATTGGCGCTGGCTTTTTGTTGGTGCTGCTGATTTTTTCATCAGCAAAACACAATGATTTACATTTTGGAGTGCTACCCTATAAAACGGGGTTAGTTAGAATCATTTAAGCTATTATGTATGTACATTTCTTAAAGAGACATTTTACATTAAATCAAAAAATATTACTAATTACAGCTGAAATTTTTCTAAGGAATTCTAAGACTAACTTTCAGTTTAAAAAGGCTTTTAGAACAATATTAAATTGGTTTATTGACGCCAAACTCAAAGCTTGTTTATTTAGTGTAGTTCCCGACCGACAAATAAACTCGATACTCGGCGCTGTGGATTTTTAAAGTTCACTGTTATTGAGCTATGAAGTTCAAATTAAATTTTATTGAGTTTCATTTAATTTGTGACTGTAACTTAAAATATTATTTACAAACTGGGTAATACTTGGTCCCTAATTTTTTTTTAAGAAAATTTGTATGCTTCAAATCCCAAAAAAAGTAGTTTTACTTAAATGCTTCGTATTTGCAGCAACTTCGAAACCCAAAAACTGAAAGGCGAAACAGAAGTAAAATTTGGTCGAATCCATATCTTGATGTTGCAAAATGCTAATCAATAAGTATCATCCAGTCCCACCACAAATTAAGATTTCTTTGCTGT